TAATTGGTCAAGTTCCTTTCAATGACACGGTGTTGATTGGGTGGACATTGGGGTGTACCGGAGCAGGATGAGATAACCATTGGTCAAAATAGGTTGTTGAACAGTAGTGGCCAGTAATGGGCCATTTTGTTCGTATCGTGTTCAATATGTCTGTCTGTCTGTCTGTCTGTTTAAATGCCTGCCTGTGTGCCTGTTTGTCCGTGTGACAATTTACCTTTGGCATCTGTCAATTTACTCGTGTTATTTTTTTTCGTTAGTTTGTTTGTTTGTTTGTTTGTTTACTTGAATAAAAAGAAGCACATCGACACAATAATGGTCATATTTAGTGCAGGGAAAAGGTAAGACATACAGACAGAAAGAACAGAAGGAAAGTAAAGAAGTAGTACCTACCAGTAGACCTCTCCAACCACCCGCAGTTTTTTCGTGCAGGCATCTACTTGTTTGACGACAATTTACAATAATTAATTTATATAACGATATCTCACCTGCGTAACAGCCACGTTGAACTTGGGTACACTTTCAAGGACGTATCCTCGCATCTGGTTCAAGGCCACGTGAGCGTCACCATTTACCTCATTGGTACCCGGTGTTATGTCGCAGTAGCGCTTGGTCTGGGATGCACGTCATAACAGGTAGTTAGTGTTATTACAATTCTCGTGAATGACTGGCCGCATCATTACGTATTACAATACTGGTAGTAGCAGACCAGTAATAGTTTATTTAGAGCTTCACGGCACTTTCAACACAATTAGGTCAATGTCATATACATGCCGAAGATTAGAGGTGTTGCTTGATAGCAAATTGGGAATTACATAAAAGAAGGAGGAAACCACACCAGAGCACCCGCCGACCACCCACAAACTTATTTCAAATAGTGCCGGATAACAGAGAAAATGCCGATCGCTGGACGAATATATATTTTTTCAATACAATGCACTGAATACATAAAAAATATAGACACCCTATAGATTTATTATCAATGCACAAACAAATAATTCATAAGATGCACAATAAAATATTACAAATAACACCAAGAGAGGATAATAATTATAATCTCACAAACCAAGAGGCAAAAAATATTGTATTTTGAATTTATGACATGATTTTATTGATCTAACTAAAAGTCATAAAGTATGAAAAGCATATTTCATTTTTACACAGGCGAGTTTAATGAAATTATTAAATTATTTTGGAGATCAAATCGTAAGCACGACACAAACATTTTCCAACGTTTTCCCACACGGAGTTCACCATCTCAATGTTGCCAGTTGGTTTACTTCTGCTTCTGTTTCCATTTGGTGTACAGTACCATGTCTAATATTATGGCACTGTTATTATTATACTGTCTGGTTTTCCCAAAACATGTCACAAATACCACCCTATCTTTTTATGGCGGTGTTGATATCTTCAATCGCAGTAGTTTCCAAAACTTTGTTATAAATTATTCATTCCTTTTTGTAGAACACAGTCTTCCTAAACAGTCTGTTACGTTTAAATGTTGTTGAATTGCTTCATTTGTTTTTCATATCTCTGAACCATACGTGTCTAGAACGAGACAGTCAAGAACAGCAGAGGGAGCCTAAAGAAGAAGGACCTACCTACCAGAGGCGTATTCCAACCACCCTGGCTCACCTTGTTACATTCCTCCAGGTTGTCAAAGAGATCATCGATGTCACGGAG